TAAGTTTGGAATGCCTAAAGTTGAATGTGTGACTGGGGTTGTCATAGAGCAAGATAACAAGGCTCAAAGATGCCGATTCTCCTACTCTTTAGTTTAGGACCTGTCTTTGGAAATTGTTGACATAAGGAAAGCAGATTTTGCTGCTATTTTTGTTCTTCCCAGAAGACTGATAAATGTCAGTGCAGAAGAGCTGCTATTTGTTACTTTGAAATGCACGACAGAAAAATGCAGTCTTTCCTTACAGAGAAGGTAGGGATTTTTAATAGAGCATTTTTACCAGTGGTGCTGATAGAAGAAAAGAAGAGGTAAAATAAAAAATACACTTGTTTATGTTTCTGGAGTCTGGTAAACATCATATTGTTTAGACTGTTCTTTCAATTTTTACTGAACTTTACCTGAAAACTTTTTATTAAAAAATGAGTATTTTTCCGCCTTTTTTTTTTTTTTTTTTTTTTTTTTTTTTTTAATAAAGGAGGGGGCTTCTAGTAATTAGCTGGATTTACAACAAATGGCACACAGCCTGCTAGCTCGGCATGTGTGCTGTATCTTTGGTGTTTACCCTATTATATTGCAATTTAAGTATGTCATAAAGTTTTATCAGTGATCACATAGAAATAAACTGGAATGCAGAAGTACCAACCATGAAATATTCAGAGAATGCGGTAGCAGTATGTATGACTTCTGTATTGTGATAATTGCATCAGTTGTGAAAATTGTAATGGGATACGATATTCCTCATTTATATTTTGTGATGGTTGGGTATTTTTAGCAAATGAGTTGTCAGCAGAAAGGCTTCATTAGACCCATCAGGGTATCTGCCCATGAATAACGAATCCCAAACTGTACTGACAGTTTCCTTGAGCCAAAATGATGGAGCATCTCTGACAAAAGCCATATTGTGCTCCCCATGTGAGAAGTGTGAAGAACAAAAGAGACAGTTTGTTCTTAATTTGGTCAGGTTAATATTGACACAGCTAGCTTAGAAGAGTCAGAAGTGTGTGTAATGTACACTTGCAGTGATCACTTGGGTAATTGTCTGTTGATTTCATGAATCAGTGTTGCAAGATACAGAGAAGTTTCAGATTCTCTTCAGATATTTCTTTGATATTTTGCCTCTTTTAAAGGATCATCCATGTTTATAGGTACATTATCTGTTAAACTTAAAAAGAAATTATTGAGAATCAAGAAAGAAAATAGAGTTTCAGAGAAAGAAATTTCCCAGCAATATAGAACTTACATAAAATGGTATTTCTCAACAAAAATACATAATTACTAAACAAGTCATGTTCAAAAATCCCACAAAAGTCTGTCTTTGGATTTCTTTGGCTTTCTCATTCTGCTTACCTAATTGATACAAAAATATTTGTAAATTTCAGAATGTTCATCATATTGCTATGTTCAGCAGAAACTACTTATATGCATTACTTAAAAGCACCATTTTATTACACATTATGACATTAAATTACTCCAGTAGTTATACTGCTATTAACTATGCAAATACATGTACTACTAGATTCTGTTTATTTCAAGTACATACATTTCAAGTATGCTAACAATTAATTTTTCTAAGTTACTTAGAGGGCATTATAACAACTAGTAATGTTTACATACACTGTTTATCTGCTGTATACTATGTAAACATTACTTAATACTAAAGCCAGCACATGTTAGTAAAAGAAAGAGTGTAGAAAAATGACCAATTAACTGACCCCTTTGTCATTGTTTAGCTATGTCAGTATATCTCCTATATATTATACTAATTCATCAACAGCATTTTTAAATGCATGTCATTAATTTTGGATTTATTAGCTTAACTGTTGAAATTATTTGAATTTTTTCATTTTTGAAGGAAATGTTTCATTTTCTGTAAGAATTTATCATATGTTCCCCTTGTTAATTTAGATTATCAAATTCATGGGAGAGTCCATATATCTATCATGTCTTTCAGTATTTGGCCTTTGGTAGTTTTTAAGACTTGTTTGCAACTGTCATTATTTACTTGAATGTTTGAATGCCTGTGAAAAGAGTATCTGAATTTACTAGTTTAAAAGAATAAACTCTAGGGTTGTTCAGGTGAGTTATCAGGAATTTTCAGATGGTTTTGAATCTGCTATAGTTCAGATTTTTTATTTGAATAGATTTTAATTGTTCCAGGTACAGTTAGGAATGGGATAATTGAAATGACTGTTTCATGCTCAAGGACATTCTGGGAACTGCTTCTAATCTACATGATACTTGTGTCTTCAGAAGATTTTACTTGTTTGGATATTCAAAGCTTTTTCAGAATAATTCCTCACCATAACCCTCTATTCAGATTTAACATATGAATGTCCACCAGTAAACTGCCAGCTGACTGTCTGTGCATTAATCTGTGTGAATTTGACATAAACTTCATTTTTAGGTGCTGTGCAAACATCAAAGGGAAACTTCTCTAGCTGCAGAAAGGAATCTACTTCCAAAGCATTTGATAAACAAGATTTTTTTTTCAAAGTTTAACTTAGAGGGAGAGTCATGCATTTTGTGGACATATTTGAGTAGATTAATAAATAGTGTTTATATAATTGTAACCAAAACAGTAATTTATTAGGTAGGAGACTGATTCAAGGGAATAACATGCCAGTCTGCAGGTACAGTTGTACCATGTTCATGATGAACTGCTGTTTATTCAAGGCCAGTGTAGCTTGGCAGCATCAAAAGAAGTCTTGGCTAGAAAATGACAAAAAATTATTTAAATACAAACTTCAGAAACATAAAGGAGAAAATGAAATTTCTGCGTCTTTGTTGACCAGTAGTTATCAGAAGTGAGGGCTGAAAAATGGCATTTATACTTTGTATATTATGTTCCCAGTTGAGAAAGGTAGATGTATGGTTTATATTTCAAGTTTTACTTGAAACTTGACTAGTCCAAGCATTAATGAGAATAGGAAACATAAAAGTTTACCTCCTGTGTATTTGGGGCCGGGTGTGCGTGAAAGAAGGTAACTTTTTTGATACAAGGAGTATAAAAATACTTTGCCTCAGTTCTTACTTGTGTGTGTGTGTAGTTTTTTTGAGATTTGCACAATCCAAAGAGCAGGAACAAGGGGATCTGTAGGAGCAATCTGTAGTAATTGTGTGTTACGATAGGGTGATGGCATCATGGATACATATGAAGGGCTGCAAAATTAAATTAGCTTATGGATTTTGCTTCTCAATACTATTATTTTAACATTTATTTCTTAGATGAAATATTGGCATGACAAATTTCATAAAGTATTTTCTTTTTCTAGCAAAACAACCGTGATTTACTCAAGAAATAACAATAGACCAGTATCTCAGAATCACAAAATTGTAAGGGTTGGAAAGGACCTCTGGAGATGATCCAGTCCAAGGCCCCTGTCAAAGATGGGTCATCTAAAGCAGGTGACATAGGAACATATGCAGGGGGGTTTTAATGTCTCCAGAGAGGGAGACTCCACAACCCCTCCAGGCCGTGTTCCAGTGCTCTGCCACCCTCAGTGTAAAGAAATTCTTCCTCTTGAGGTGAAACTTCCTGTGTTTCAGTTTATGACCATTGCTCCTTCTCTTGTTTCTGGGCACCAGCAAACCTGCATTTGATCCCTTCCTCCAGGTCACTGAAAAACAAGTTGAATAAGACTGGTCCCCCGTTGGAGGTACCATTGTCTGCAGGCCACCTGCTGGACTCTGCTGCACTGACCATGACCCTCTGACCCTCTGAGCTCTGCCTTCAGCCAGCTCCTGATCCACCTCACTGCCTAGTCCTCTAACCCACATTTCCTGAGCTTACCTCTAAGGATGTTATGGGAGACGGTATCAGAAGCCTTGCTGAAGCTGAGATAGGCAACATCCACTGCTCTCCCCTCATTGACCCATCCTGCTATGCTGTCATAGAAGTCTATCAAATTGGTCCAATCTGACTTGCCTTCAGTGAATCCATCCTTGCTACTCCTGTGTTCCTGATGACCTTGTTTTCTATATGCTTTTTGATGATCTCCAGAATGATCTGTTCCATCACCTTTCCAGGAACTGAGGTGAGGCTGGCTGGCTGGTAGATTGCCCGGTCTCCTTGCCATTTTTGAAGACAGGAGTGACATTAGCCTTCCTTGAATCATCAGGCAATTCTCCCATTCTCCATGATTTTTCAAAGATGATGGAAAGCAGCCGATCAGCAATGTCTGCTGGCTCTCTCAGCACCTGTGGGTGGATCCTATGGATTTAAGGTGTTAAGTCTGCCTAGCTGATCTCTAAGCCAACCCTCAACAGCCAAGGGGAAGCCTTCCTTTCTTCAGCCTTCCTCTCTTACTGCTGAGGTCTGCGAATCATGAGGGCTGGTCTTAACAGTAAAGACAAGCAAAGACAGCATTCAGTAATTTTACCTTCTCTGTGTCTTCCACCACCAGAACACCCATCTGGTTCTGCAGTGGCCCTGCATTTTGCCTAATCTTTCTTCTGTTGCTGATAAAATTGTAGAAGCCCTTCTTGCTGTCCCTTGCCAGACTGAGTTGCAAGTGGGTCTTGGCCTTCCTTGTTGTATCCCTGCAACTCGATGTTCCTAGAGTCCTTCTGTGTGGTCTGTCCCTTCTTCCACATTGCATGTATTTCTTTCTTGAGTTTTACTGGAAGTTCCATGCTCATCTATGCAAGTCTCCTACTTCCTTCTCTCAGTTTCTTTGTCGTGGGTATACAGTAGAGCTTGGAGTGCTTTTAATCAATGTTGTAAAAGCAGGTAGCAGGAACAAGTAAGAATTATGTTTCACCAGCATATTTGCCAGGAAGGCAAAACCTGCATTTAGTATTCTAGTGTTCTTCCATTACTGTGCTATGGGGCTGGTTCTTGATTTTTATTAGGTGCATAGTTGTTTTGACAAGTGAAATGGAATTTTCTTCCTTTTTAGACCTGCTGATGCTTTTCAACATTTACAGCTATTTTTACAACATATTTGGATGAAAAGAACCAGAAAAGTTGCTGACATTTCCTTTAATTTTTCAATGTTTTTCAGGACTGCAAATTACACAGGAGTCTCATTGGTGATCTGAAAGTATTCATAGATAAATATGGGTTTGATGTACTTGTCATTTTGGCCAACTGCTTGTCAGATGAGAAGCAAACAAAACAACAAATAGCAGTATACTCGGAAAATGTAGAGCTAGGCAATCAGGTAAGTACCTGGAAAAAGAATCAGAATTTTTTCCATTTCCTGGAAAAAAAAAGTGGAGGTTTTTTTAAGTAGTCTATATCAAGGCGTTGATTAATTAAGTGAGGTCAAAACATAGCAACAGTTGACCAGCAATTGAGCAGCTATTTGAAATGACTGCATTATTTATATGGTAAGAGAATGAAAGATTATGACATTTATTATTGCTTCAGACCAACCTAATTGTAAAAGGTTATGAAAAATACTGAAAGAGGCAAGATTTTTAAATTCAGTTAAAATGTTTTTTCCCCAGTTTTGACTTGGGTTTGTACTGTGAGTTACACAAATGTGTCTTTGGCAATGAGTGATAAGCAAACACCTTGTAAGTGGTAATGACCAGAACCCATATATGTATATGTTATTGCTAAAGAATTCAAGCTCTGAAATCAAAACAAATCATTATTGTTGTGTACATTTGTCCAGAGCTAGGTGCATTCCATTTTTTTAAACTATATTTATCCCCAGATGGAAGAGACTATCTCAGTGGCAACTTTCTGAACCTTTTTCTCAGTCTTGAAAACTTATGATTTTTGGGACAGGTGGCTAAGTGACTCCATGTTTTCAAGACCAATATAAATGCATTTATTTATTTTATTAATATAATTACCCCAGTCTAGAAATACATTCCTAAATTAATTACATAAATTTTACTCAGATTTCTTAAGGAAACAACCAAAAATTGTATTTGGATTTTCTAACAAGAAGTGAACCAAAAACTCAAATGGTATAATTTTGGACCAATCATATGACAAATAAAATATTTTGTCTTGATCCTCTTTTGTAATACATAATCTATTTGGGGATCATAATAAGGATGCTACAGTGAAATGGCCAAGCAATAGGTTAATAGGAAGAGATAGGTACGGCTGTATTACATGATGAAGTAGTCAATATGTGCCTTATGTCCATGACTACAGTGACTTCTGAAATACCCCATTTTTCAACAGATCTGCTGTGAATTAGAAGAATGTCAGAATCCTTGTTTGGAGCTGGATCCTCTAGAATGTGAATGTGACCAAATTCTCATTTATCATCAAGAAAATTCTTCAGTGACCTGTGATCAAATTCTTCTCCTAATTAAGGAAGTTATAAATAGAAGGCAACCAGAAATGGTGTCAAACAGTAGAACTTCTTCTACTGAAGCTGTTGCTGGAAGTGCTCCACTTTCACAAGGATCTTCTGGTATTATGGAGTTATATGGTTCTGATGTAGAACCACAGCCCAGTTCTGCCAATTTTATAGAAAATCCTCAAGATCTAAATGGGTCTGTGCAAGCCCACATTGACGTTAATGTAGACCTTGTGAGTCCAGACAGTGGCTTGGCTACCATTAGAAGCAGCCGGTCTTCCAAGGAGAGTTCTGTTTTTCTTAGTGATGATAGCCCTGTTGCAGAAGGTGCTGCTTCACATCACAGTCTTCTGCCTGGCTTTGATTCCTACAGCCCTATTCCTGAAGGAGCAATAGCTGAAGAGCAGAAGTCTCAGTCAGGAAGCAATAGCGATAACTTTGATCTTTTCAATTTTGATCTAGCACCCATGGTTACAGCTCCATCTGAGTCATCTTCTCGTTCTGTTGATTGTTCCCCAGCAGAAGACTATTTTCTCAATAATGATTCATCAGAAGGGCATCAGCTTACTCTGAAGAAAAAACTTGATGAGACAAACCTATTAGAAAATGATACAGTAAAGTATTCAACTGACTTACTTACAACAAAAATTGAGGAAGACAATCTGGCTGAATTTGATGAGAATACAGGAGAAATATGTGAGAAAACGTCAAGTTTGATTGATTTAGTTGAAGGTGATTCTTCTTCACCAGAAGTGTTGAAATCTGCTGATTCAAGAATTCCACCAACTCCTATGAATAGTCTTGTAGATACTTCACCATTAGATAATGGGCAGCCTTTAATTTTCTCACAAGATGTCATAAAAAAAATTAATGAAATAGATGGCACAAATTACTCTCCGTCTCGTGTTAGATATGGGAGCTGGTGGGATGGCTTTGATCTAGATTCCAGAAATGCTGATGCATGGAGTTCAAGTGAACAGGAATCTGTATTTCAGAGTCCTGTCTTATGGAAAGATTCTAAAGAAAGTCCTTTGCTACGAGAACATACTGATAGAAGAGCCTCAGATTCTGTGTTCCTCCAAAAACAGCCAAAACAAATGGAATATATGAAAGCAGGTCTATGGGATAATCAGTTTAAAGAAGATAATTGGAACCGTGAGAATCAAGAGAAAAACAGTGAACATTCCTGTTTGCAAACTGCTTCTTTAGATGGGACAAATCAAGAAGTGGAGAGCTTTACAGACCTGTGGAAAGTCAGCCAACCACCACCTGTGATGTCAGATGCATGGTGTAGCAGTGAAGGAAAAGGTAGCCAGCTAGCTGGAGACTCTTACAAAATCTGGACTGAGTTTGATGAAGGAAATGCTGGTAAATCCTCAGAAAATGTATGGAACATGTGCAAACTAGATAGAGAGTTAAAATCGGTGAATATTCCTGGCCCCGGTGATATTCGGGCCATATCAAAAACTGGTTTATCACATTCTTCAGAAATCTCAGTGGACAATGAAACTGAAAACCCAGAAGTGTGGGATAAAGGAAGGTGTTATTCAATAGAAGACCATGGCAAATCTGAAAATGTAACTTTTGTTTTCAACAATACGCAAAATAATTCCAAGCTGAACACAGGGGACAAAACTGTGTTTGGTGATCCTAAATATAGACCAAAACAATTTGAAAATATAGATACCTGGAATATGTATGATAAAAACATCAGAAAGGAAGTAACAGAAGTAGTGGTGCCATGGGAGGATACCTTCTTATATAAAAACTCAGATCTTAGTTCGTCAAATATAGCAGAAGATTTAGTTGTTTCTCCACCAGACACCAATTATTCAACATCTGATTCATATATATCACCTACATATGTGGAAGATGAAAGAGAAAATGAGGACAAGGGTTTTGAAGAAGAAACAGTTACTGGTAAATTCATGAACACAAACTTGGCTGAATCAAAAGTACTTCAGAAATCAAGTAAGGAACCATTATCTCCTAACAATGTGCCTTTTACAAATGCTAGAAATACAGATATCTGGAACACTCCCCTAAATAACATCGCCCAGTTACAAGAAAGAAATTCTGAAATTCCAGTTATTTCTGCCTCTGCTAAACCTTGCCTTAATTCAGAACAAACAGCTGATGTATGTTTTTCAACTGAAACGTGTAGCAGTGAAAATAACTTTCCTGTATCTGAAAGCAGAAGAGTAATACTGGCATATAATCAAACAATGAATGACTTATCACCATCACAGAATGAATTAAATACTAGACAGAGAGCAGCTAACAAGGCAGAAGCAGTGGGCAGCATAGAAGACACAAACACCTCTACGCCAACTTCAGAAAATGAGAATGGTTTGGATCTGAAAATATGTGACTTAGGGAGTGAGATGCTTAGTAAGAATGCAGCACAAGACACTGTCAGTATTGATGAAGAGCTGGGTATTGAGAATTCAGTGCACCAGCTGGACTCATGGCGTTTACAGAGTGAGCAGAGTTGTGAGGAAGGCTGGGATAATGACACTGTCATCTCTAAGGAAGGACAAGAATGCAAGAGAATACATGTGTCAAGTGGGCAGCAGATGATTAATGACATTTGTAATAAACCAGTGCAAGAGGACAATGAATCTTCAGGTAAGACAGATTTGGAAGAAAATGAGCCAACAACTGAAGTTGCCAGCTCCCCAGAAAAACTGAGAAATAGTTTGGAAGTATTAATCACAGAGAATGTGTCATTTTCAAATCAAAGCAATCCAGTTAGTCAGGAAGAGAGACAAGATGTGTTGCAGTGCAGTTTAGAATCTTCAATTATTTCTGAAGGAGGCAGAGATTATGAATTTTTTGATGACCCCTTACCACAAAATTACAATCATACTGAAATGTCACAGCTGCTTTCTCAGGGAACTGGAAAAGAGGCTGTGGTGACAGAGGATGCAACAAGTCCCAAGATGGAAAGTATTTCTGAAAGTTCTGATAAGGGTAGTGATCATCCTGAAAATGATTCTTCTAAATTACCTGGAAGCTCAGGTGTCTGGAACGACTCTGGAAAGAATGGTTGTGGCCAAGCCATATCAATTCCTTTGATGGATAAACCACAAGAACCTCTGGGAGAAGGGCAAGAATGCTTACATGAAGTGGCTCCTAACCATCCAGACATTTGTAATTCTGGTAATTCTTTCAAAAATAGTTTAGAACTGATGAGGACCAATGAAAATTTTTTCACAGATGAGTTGAAGAAAAATCCTTCTGGATTTGTTAGTGTTCCTGATATTACACATATGTCTGTGGTAGAAAATTCATTTTCACTTGAAATAGCTTCTGGGAGAAGTGAAGACTCTGAAAATGTAGAAACTGCTACAAATCTTTGTGGAGAGCCATTTGCAGTGCTTAATGACAATTTTCTCCAAACTTCTTGGGATTCACAGCCATGTGAAGATTTGCAGTCTCCTGGAACAAGTCCTGAGGCAAGTGAAATCCCTGAAATAGCAAATACCACAAGCAGCCTTTCAAAAGATATACAGATCAAAAGCTATTTGGAAGAAGATAATATGTGGAATAATTCAATAAATTATTATACACACTCAAGTGGAACAAGTCCTGACTTGAGTGATGCATCTGTGAATGTGTGGGGAGACTTTCCAGTTGCTAGTCATCATGAAAGAAGCAGGGATGTGTGGGAGATGAAAAATAATAAAAATCTTGCGGATTCTTTTAAAAAGCAGGAATTTGGGAATGAACATGAAGAAGGATTTGAAGCAAGCACTGAAAAGAACAAAGTTCCTAAAAGCTTAGATTTTTGGAATGCCCATGTAGATGATGATACTGTATCTTCTTTATCAAGTCCTGACATAAATGAGGATTCAGAGATTTCAGAGGCATGTCCAGAAGTGATTAATGAAGATTCAGTGTGTGAAAACAAACAGCACAAAGGAGCTGAAAATGAAGAGGATTGTGATCAGTCCAATGCAACAAGTCCTGGACCTAATGAAAACAGTTCAGGTGCAAAAACTAAGGTGGGAGAGAAGGTCCTGGTAAGCACCTTCAATGAAAATTCTGAAACAACTGAAGCCAAAAAGGTATTGCAGGAGGATGGGACTGTTGACTTTATTGATTATAATATGACTATTCAGTCTACTACAGGCCACTGTGAAACACCTGACGAAATAACTCAGGTGAGTATTTTCAATGAAAAACCAGATAGTGTGGAAGACTCATATTTGTATCAAATGAATGAAGATCCTGCATCAACTTCTGCTGCTGGTGATAAAGAAGAGCATTCTTTAAAAGCTGTAGATAGGTGGAGTATGTCACTAGAAGCTGATTCAAGGACTAGTCCAAAATCCACAGTAGGAACATCTGATTTTCTAGATAATAGTTCAGAATGGTGGAGTTCAGAACCTTGTGAAGAAAAGCAATTGGAAGATCAGTATTCAGTTTCAAGTCACTCTGCAACAAATCAGCCAGGAAACAGTAAAGAGTACTCCTGTGGCTCCCCTTCACAAGGTGAACAACTAACAGAAACACATTTCACAGATCCAGGTAATGATGAAAATCCACCTGCCCCCCTGTACTCTGATGAAAAAGAAAATGAAAGACTAGTACATTCTATCAGTAGTCCTGATGGTCAGTTAAATGAAAACAGTTCATTTAATCAATTTGATTCTTTCACACTGGATAAAGAAGAAAGGGAGTTGATAGAGCAGTTGTTTTCTGCAGATGACGAAAATCAACTGTCTCCACAGAACTCTTTTTCAGATGAGGAACAAGCTATACCAAATACAGCAGTTGAAGCAGTCACTGTACTGGATCTACCAAAAGACGATGAGGGGAATGCAAATCTCATTCCTCAAGGACAGCAGAAGGACACCTGTGAAAGAGTAGAAGTGCTCAACTCTGTGCCAGATGCTTTCACTGTAGAAGACTTGTCTTTTGAAATGGCAGAAAAGTCAAGTCCAGAGTGGAATATATTAGTTCCCCAAACTGCACTTATCCCAGATATTTTACAGGATAACACACAAGGAAGTAATCAACAGTTTTCAGTGGAACCTGACCTGTGGACTAATGCTGAGGAGACTGTCACTTTGAAATCAGATGGTGAAAATCCTGATATTTTAAGTCACTGTGACCAAGACAATGGTTCAGAGTCATCAAGCAGTCCTGATGTGTGCCAGGAATATGGAGCTAAACATGCCTCTATCCCATCTTCTCAGATTGCAGTGGAGCCTGAAGACAAAGACAGTCAGCCAATTCATACAAGATCAAACGTGAATAAAGAGGTAGTTTTTGATTCAAAGTGTCAGCTGGTAGTGCAGAAAGAGATGCACTCTGAAAATGGCAGCCCCCAGGACTATGAACCAGTAAAGACCAATGAATTCTATCAGCTCATGTCTTCTAATCCTCAGGAGCCTCCTGAATTTGCAATTCCAGAAGAACACAGCCTAGAAAATAAGCTGGTATTTGACCCTGTTGAATCAAGTGAAAATGCCAGTGAAGTTATAAAAGTAACATCCTTAGATGTGAAAGACACCTTCCGTGGAAGTTTCACTAATGCAAGCCATCAACGAGCACCAAGGGATACAGCTCAAATAGCAACCTCTCAAATGCATTTGCTTCCCATGGATTTCAGTCAACCTGATAGGGAAGAACAAAGCTTAAAAGAAATCAGTCCCTTGGATGAAGTTGTAAAATATTCTGATACTGACCATATGGCAATAACTGGTGTTGAGCTAGATAGGCCAGAAGAATGTGTGGATAACTCTGACACAGGGCTAGCACATAGTATCAGGGACACCTCAGCGACTAGTGTCCTGGCAGGCACATGTGGTGGAATGAACATACTGACACTGCTAGGCAGTGAGGCAGCAGAAGGGAAATCAGAGGATGAACGGACACTTTTCCCCAAATCCTTTCTACCTGGTGGTAATGAAGGTAATGAATCTGATTCAAATAATCAACTGTTTGATGACACAGCAAAAGAATATGAAGCTGTAATTGATCCTGTGTTTAAGGAAATACCCAATGACCAATCACCAACGATGTGTACTCCACCATCCTCTGCATCTTTTGATGCTGAACCGTCTGGCAGCAGAGAGTATGCAAACGGCAAGCTCTTGTTACAGCAGCCATTTTATGACAGTGTTTCTTTGGAAAAACGATTGCCATTGTCAGCTCCTCTGGAAGGTGCAGAGGGCATCCTAATGACGGAAGATAAGGTGTCTGAGACATCCACGGAGTGTCTTGAGGAAAATTTTACCTCAGTACCATCGCTCTCCATGTCTGAAGTAACCCCCCCACATATGGATTTCTTGACAGGAAAATCTGAAACAACCGATCCTGACTCACCACCAGGTGGAGATAGAAGATCATGTGACGGTAAGAAAATCTGCTTTCCAGGGCAAATACATAAGACAAAGAAAAGAGGGAAATATTTTTATGAAGCCTATGAGGAGGAGGCTTTGAGTGAAGTGTTGAGTTTGTTGTCTCCCTAATGTACAGGACATTTACTGTAGAAAGAGCTTTAATGTTATTCTTTGAGATGATGCCTTGAGAGGCTACCTAGAAAAGAGGTTAGACAGAGTTAAAGGAATAAAGTAGGTATTTATTCACAGACAGATCTAAAACTTTTAAACAGTGAAGTAGTAATACAATTTCTGTTGTTTGTACAGGGCCTAGCCTATGGGACACTGAATTGTTTGTGCCTTGGGGATGATTGCTCTGTTAATGTATAACCTTTAACAATAATGATGATGGTGATGATGTTATAAAATTCAAGTACATATTAACAGAGCACAGAAAACTGAAAAGAGCTTTATCTCACAGAACTGATTAAAGCATACTATGGTGACTAAATCAGCAATTCAGAAATTAAAAAGAGTTTCTATTTGCCTGTTCTTTCAGAAGCTGGCACTGACTCCCTACTTTGTAGGGAGGAAAAGCTGAGAAATTCCCATAAGAGCCCTGAACTGGAAAGTACAGACAGTAAAGAAGATGTGAGGATGCAGGTGTTACCGGCTTCACTGGAGATGGATTACATCCTTGTTACTGAGGAAAAAAATACACCTGCAACAAATGATACCCTTGAAAGAAGCAAAATTGATTTTGCATTTCAAGAATCCCATGAGGGCTTTTCACCAGGCTCCTTGGATGCATTTCAGGCAATATCCATTTCAAATGAAAGCAAAGATCATCTTGTTTGTGGGACTGGATGGGACACTGTTCACTTAGAAGAGAAAAATTCTTCTGCTGTGCCTCAAAAGCTGGATGGTGAAAAGAAATCACAGGAAAGCTGTGGGCAAGACGAGGGTTGGATTATATTGGGACAAAGTGAAGTAAGTGACCTATCACCTGAAGAAATTTCTGCCAAGACAGAGATGCCAAAATCAGAGTCTGGACATCCTGGTGAAGAACTGGCATCTGTTGTAGCGCAGGAACTGATTCTTGACACTTGGACAGAATTTCAGGTAGAAACTCCCCTTCAGAAACCTTCTGAGCATGAAAGCTGTTCTCCTTCAGATGGCCTGGCTGCTGAGAACGTGAGTTCAGGCATTGCAGGAACATCAGAGTTGCAGGTAGCTGGTGGTGATACTACATGGGAAGCCAATTCTCAAGAGAAGCTTGGGAGCAACGTAGGAACAGAACAAGAAATGAAGGAGGAAACGGTTCTTTTCAACAGTGAAAGAGAATTGAATCAAAGATCAGGGTAAGTAAAAATCAACGTATTTTCTTTCAAAAGTCTTCTGTTCATTTGTTACTATGTTATTGAGGTGTGTGCCATTATGAACAGATGGCAAGACTTTCAAGTCTGAAGTATGCAAATTATTATTTAACTATCAGTGTATTACTTCCTTTCTGTAAACAGATTGTTGGTTCTTCATTACTTGATATAAGCCACATTAGGGTTGTTTTGCAATTGATTTGAAGGTTACTTTCTTGCAGGAGTAAACCTGTCTTCCTTCTGTGAAGTCCCACTGATTGTATTACCTGCCTTTAAATTTGAAACAGATATGGCCAGGGCATACAGGCCCAAGCCAGGTACTGATGATGTTGCCAGTATATGATGAGATTATGGAGGGATCGAAGTGAAGTACTATCTCTGCCCAATGCAAAACTGCTGAGAAGGAAGAAAGGAAGAAGTCAAGGCCCAGAGTCAGAAAAATGATACAAGTGCTGCTTGTAGAGGAAAGAAAAGCATGAAGGAAAGTTGTGGTCTTTGTCATTATTTTCAAGCTCTAGTCAGATCAGAGGAGCATTTATGACTGGTGGAATTGAACTGGCAATTAAAGCATATTGAGTGAGTACATGTGGACCTGATTTTGGGTGGACATGCAGTCTTTGTGCTGGCAGTATTCCTCCTGCCAAGTGACTTTCTGCTGTCATCAGATGGAGTGAGGGGTGGCCCTTCTGACTCCGTTTTCTGCAGTGTATTGGAGAGGGTGCTTCTGTTGTCGACCTCTCCTCCTTTACAAACTGCAGGCTGCCATCAAGGGAGAGGAAAATCTTCAGAAGTGTTAGCAGAAGATGAGTACTCATCAGACCTGTAGAGCCTGAAGTAAACCAAAAATCGAGTGCTCGACCTTGAAACTAGCCAAAGCATGGTGGGTTGGCACAGCATTTCTGTTGCACCCAGTCCTCTAAGCTTGTAAATTCCAAAAGGAAAAATAGAAATTCTGAAATTTCCTATAAAAGAGAAATCTGGGAGAATTTGCCAAACAAGCAAAATTTCCAAGCAGCTGTTTTGCATCCATGTTGTTGTGTGGAAGGGTGGCTTAGGATTCTGCAAATCTAGGAAAGCTAGATGTCCTTTGACTAGGAGGTGCTTTGTTTGTAAGCCCTGGAAGCCATTTTCTGGTGTTAACCGCTGCACTGGGTTTCATGAAAAACAACTCATTTCAACTAGTAAAGATGCTTTTTTGACAAACCATACATTTCTGGTAAAAAATCATAGAATCATGAAATATTCTGCTCACAGCCAGTAATGACTGGGACAGCAAACAGGATGAGTTGTTTAGAGGTGCTGGCTAGTTGCAGGCTTGCAAATCTGACATGAAGAAATAGTCTGTAATTTCCTCTGTCTCCCATAAAGTATTTTAAATTAAAACCAGGCAGATGCTGTCCCAGTCTTAAGTCACACTGATTAATTACATGCAGGCAGCATCCTAGGGACTTGTCATACTTACATTCCCATAATGTAGAGAGGAAAAGAAAACTCTAGGTATCTGATTTAGAATTATTTGTAAGTAAACCAGCACATTTTCAACTTGAGATAACTTTGATGCAGTAAGACTCTTAGTTAGACACCTCAGGAAGAAAATCTGATTTTTGAACATAGACTGGTACTAGAAAAAAACATTTCTATGCCATGGATTTATACGGGTGGGTTAACATCTTATTGCTATAAATTGTTATATTCATTTTGAGAAGAGCTCTGCTGTTTTTTAGGAACTTTGGCATATCCTGAAGTACTACTCAACAATAGAATAGTTCACATTGGAACTTTGCATGTAGTACATTATTCTTAGAACTTATTGTATTTGCTTAGAGTAATTCCCACATTAAAATCCAAAACTGGACCATGCTAATGTTCTTGTGTTTTCAATAAAATTTTAAATGCATGATGGAATATGATGCATCCTGCAAGAAAAAGATAAAATAATTATTGGTATAGAATATATATGATCGCTATAGCTTCTAGTTTAGTCTTTTCTCTTATCTTAGAAGTTGTTTAATACTAAATGCCTTTTTAGTCAATAGCAGTGGCTGTTTCTGTCCTTTACACTACTAATACTGATGCCCAGAGAAGCAAATTAAGGAATTTATTCAGCTTCAACATTAACAATTAATTGTGGCAGCGTGGAACCAGTAAAATCTTTTTTGCTTTGGATTTAAGTTTTCTTGTTAGATTTTTTCTTGGTAAGTTGTAAACTTTAATGCAAGTTTCTTCAAGCATTAATTTTATTAAAAGTAATTAATCCTCTTCTGTGAGTATTTTGTATGTAATAGAGATTGCTTTTGTGGTGTGGTTTTCCCCTCAGTTTCCCCTCTGCTTGGTAGTTGGTATGCAGTAAACTTGTGGTAAGCTTATGTCTTCGGTCAGTTAGGTAAAGACTTCAGACTTCCTAGAAGAACAGACAAATGCACCCCTGTGCATGCCCACAGCATGATCACAGAGGCCTTAATTCCTTTGAAACCAAAGCAAACACACAAAAAATACTATGATGAAACACATACAGGAATCATTATTTCAAGATGATATGCCCATTTAATGAAAGTTCTTACATAAACAGCTGAAAAACTAGCAACTGACATGGTAGAAGTATGCAATTAGAAATGCTTTCTTAATGTATTTAATTGACAGTTTTAAAAACAGAAGATCCTTCTTAAAACATTACTCAGTATGCTGCTTTTGACTTTTTAGTCTGAAATTAACCACCCTTCATGGCCAATGAAATTTAAATTAAAGTGATGCAACAGAACTGCCAGCCTATGGGAGATTAGTGAAGAAACACTGGTGTTACCACGTAAGAGTAAGAAACTAAGACTTTTCTGATTGTTGCAATAAAATTTCTGGAAGGCATCTGATTGTGCTAGTCATCAGGAGATGAGTCTGCCAAAGATTTACATCAAAGTAGGATGTAAAGAAACTCTTCATTGTTCGAGTGGTGAGGCACTGGAATGGGTTGCTCAGGATAGCTTTGAATGCTCCATCCTTGGAAGTGTACAGAGCCAGGCTGGAGGGAGCACTGAGCAACCTGATGTAGTGGTAAGTGTCCCTTCCCCAGTCAAGGGGCTTGGAACCAGGTGATCTTTGAGGTCCCTTCCAACCCAAATCATTCTGTGGTTCTGTCATCTTAGAAAAATAAAGAAACTTACCATTTGTATTCAAACTCAAACCTAGCCAATGAACAGCTGAATTAGTAGTACAAAGTTTATGAAGTCACTTAGTAACTGTCTTGTAATCCCTTTTATATCCATATGCCCCTGTAGGAAAAAAAAAGAAAAAGTTCCTACGTGTACAGTGCTGAAGTAGGTTCCTTTTGTAGTGGAGTAAGGGTCAGTGAAGGATGAAGTTCGCATTGTTTCCTGCTTTTGTCCAGCAGATGTCTGCCACTTCTTCTAATAAAAACTGCCTGTTGCACAGAAGAGATGTTGGAACTCTGACAGCTGAAAATTTCGAGCTTTCTGAATTTAAGGGTGCCAGCCCTTAAGTAAAACCTCATTTGACCTTGGAAAAGGCTTCAAAAATTGAGTGATAGCACAGAAGCAGTGTGTGTGTGTAGAATAAAAACTGCCTTTTACACAGAAGAGATGTTGGAACTCTGACAGCTGAAAATTTCGAGCTTTCTGAATTTAACGGTGCCAGCCCTTAAGTAAACACCTCATTTGACCTGAGATCTTGGAAAAGGCTTCAAAAATTGAGTGATAGCACAGAAACTGTGTGTGTCGGGTGCCAGCCCTTAAGTAAAACCTCATTTGACCTTGGAAAAGGCTTCAAAAATTGAGTGATAGCACAGAAACTGTGTGTGTCGTTTGGATAGTATTGTGTGGTCTCACAGGGTAAAAAATCTTGGATTTGGGATTTTAGTATATGGTGATATAAGGGAGCCAAGATGGAGCATTTTGGGTTAGTTGTCTTATTTGCATCTTCTTCTTCCTTCTTCTTCACGAATCTGGGTGGTTTTCTCTGGGTGAAAGATGTCTGCATTGCAGATTTCAGGTGACCATAGTTGTGTTAGAAGCATAAATAATATAGATGTCAGCTCTTTATTGGATAATTTGGACTAGCTTTCTGAATTTAAGGGTGCCAGCCCTTAAGTAAAACCTCATTTGACCTTGGAAAAGGCTTCAAAAATTGAGTGATAGCACACAAACTGTATGTGTAGTTTGGATAGTATTGTGCGGTCTCACAGGGTGAAAAATCTTGGATATGGGATTTTAGTATATGGTGATATAAGGGTATGGAGCATTTTGGGTGTGGGTTAGTTGTCTTATTTGCATCTTCTTCTTCCTTCTTCTTCACGAATCTGGGTGGTTTTCTCTGGGTGAAAGATGTCTGCATTGCAGATTTCAGGTGACCATAGTTGTGTTAGAAGCATAAATAATATAGATGTCAGCTCTTTATTGGATAATTTGGACTTAAATAGCCTTGAATAAACACCATTTTAGCTCACTTTCCCTACTTGTTAGAGAGAGCTGACATTTTGTGAGTTTGTAATAGATAAGGATAATAAACTTCAGACTCAGACTTCAAAAACAATGTCTCCCAAGTTTTATTCGCCCTGACCTTGGAACAAGAAAGATCCTGGTATTCCAACAAAGAGGGAATTAAGGTTTTGAAACAGAAAGCATTAACAAAAACTAGAATGAAGAAGTGCCTTAAAATCTTGATGTCTGCTAGTCACTGCCCTTCATCCCAATGTCACACGTAACAACTCTCAAAGGTGTTTTAAAGAAGTCCATGGCTAGGGGTGAAGTTCTTCCATCCTTTCCGGTTCTATTTGTGCAAGGAAAAGCTTCAGCAGGGAGTGAAGAATAAGGATATTTACTAGTATTAAAACACTGTAGAAAAGACACCAGCTTTTCTCAGAAATACACAAACACCAAAAGTAACAAACCCTAGAGCTTCTTTGGACTCCTAAAAAAAGTACAAAAAGTACAAAAATATTTGATAGCTCATTACTAATGTCAGTCTTTCAGGGAAAA